AAAACTAAGAAGTCTGCAAGCGGATGCCCCTAACGCTGGATATGAAAATTAAAAAAGTTTAATCAAAAGTTGCATAATCGGTCTATCTGTCAGGACTTTCCCGTGAGGATCTGGAATGTTTGTTCTGCTTCTTTTTTGTACGTTTTTCTTATTTTTCCAAAACATGTAAAACTGGAACGGAACCTCGGAAAAAGGAAGGCAACTCGTGGAACTGGATCGACTCTTGCTTCCAAGTCACCGTACAAACAGTAAGAGGTTGTTTTAAACGATTTCCAAGTAAAAAATAAATAAATAAAATAAGCGGAGGGACACACGCGTGGCTTCACGCCTTCTTTCCGGACGAGCTGTCCTCAAAGTCCCAGGGGCAGACCTCGGCTTTGGGAGCCGCCTTCGGGTCGGATTGCGAACCTCCGGACTCCGACGCGTCCTCAAAATCCCAGGGGCAGACTTCGGCCTGTCGGGCTCTGGCCGCCCCCACCGGTGCGCTCCTCCTCTTCTCCACCGGGGGCGCCACCTCCACCTCCTTCTCCTCCTCCGGGGTTTTCTCCTTGGCTCTGGAGTCTTTGGGTTTCTCCCTCTCTGCTGTCCTTGTTGGCAGGAGGCCCTTCTTCCTCGAGGGGGACTCCTTGTTTTTGGAGGCCTGCGCGGGACCGGGGATCGGTTCCCGGGGGTTCGGTTCGCGGGGGTTCGGTTCCCGGGGGTTCGGTTCCCGGGGGTTCGGTTCCCGGGGACCCGCCTCCGCCCCCCCTCTGGGAGCCTCCTGGGACCGGGTCTTTTTCTGCTCGGCCTTGTCCGGATCCCCAGGCCTCTGCGGCTCCTGGAAGTCCCAGGGACAGACGTCAGGCCCAGGAACCCTGGATCCCTCCCCCCCCGGCTGGGACCCCTTGGCCTTGGCCTTTGAACCCTCCCCCGGACCCCCGGGACACGCCTCCTCCCAGGGACACACCTCTGCGCGGGCGGCCGAGGACCTCTGAGCCTCCTTGGGGTGCCTCGCGCCGGACTGGTCGGAGGCCTTCTGCCTCTGGGACTTGCCCCCCTTGGAGCCGCCCCCGTGGATGGTGGTGGTCTCCTCGGGGGCGATGGACACGTGCTTCTGGACCTTGTTCTCGGAGGGCGTGGGCAGGTCCTCCACCTCCCAGGGACACACCTCGGACAGGTCGTAGAGGTCCTTGGTCTTGGCCGGGTCGGGGCCGGTCGCCGGCTGCTGCTTCCCGCCTCGGCCCTTCTGCGCCGTTCTTGCCTGTATCTCCTCGGCCTGGTTCTGGTTCTCTTCGTTGTTGTTGTTGCTGTTGGCCTTTGGCCCCTTCTCCCCCTTCTCCCCCTTCTCCCCCTTCTCCCCCCTCCGGCCTCCGCCCTCCTCCGCGCTCTGGACCTTCCCGGTCAGCCCTAAGGTCTTCTCCTTAGCGCTGGCGATGACGCTCAGGGACTTCTGCAGCATGGAGGCCCGTGGGTGCAGCGGCTTCTTGTCGGCCGTCAGGTTGTGGGCGCTGGCCGACTTGCAGACAAGGGGAACCGATTCCGCGGACTCCCCCGGGACTCCCACGTTCTCGTCGGACTTCTTCTTGACCAGCTTCTTGCCCATCAGGGTGTCCAACAGGGATCCCTCGGCCTCGGGCCCCCCCTCTGGAGCCTGGGACTCCTCGGCCTGGTCCCTGACGTGGTCGTAGCTGCTGTGCGACTTCTTCAGGGAGAAGACCTTGCTCCTCAGGGTCTCCTCCCTGGCCGGCTTGGGCTGGTGGCTCGGCTCCAGGGGGGGTTTCCTCGTCATGCAGATGCTGTTGCGGTTCCCGGCGTGCTCCCCCCCGGCCCCCTCCTTGTCCTCGCGGCTGTACTGCCGGTGCACCGACTCAGGGATCTCGGTGATGCGGCGCATCAGCGAGCGGCCGAGACCCTTCTTGGAGCTGCGCTTCTTCTGCAGGTGCGGGTTGTTGGCCAGCATCTTCTTCCTCTTGTAGACCTCCAGTTGGGAGTAGAGCTTCTTCAGCTCCTCCTGCAGAGGAGGGGGAAAACACAGGGGGGCAAAGTGAAGGAATCCGGAGAGACGATGCGGTATACGGAGAACAGGAATCACCACGGAAACACTCGGCTACAGACGGGCTACCGAGGAGAATATGGTGGAGACAGAAAAGCAAAAAAAAAAGCAAAGACGGGACAGTCTTGGACGCCATCAAATGAAGAAACGGACGGTGTTTAGGTGTTAGGACCCAGTTGGAGCCACTTCCCCTTAACCGGCGGCCTCAAAGTAGGGATGTCCCGATCCAGCTTTTTTCACTTCCAATCCGATCCCGATCCCGGCCTATCAGAGCATGTGCTAAAGTTTAAAGTTATTTATCTTCTTACACAGACCTGTGGGTTAGGAGATGCTAATGCTAATGCTAGACTCATGTTGAACAGGGACTTACTCTGATAACAAATAGCCAGCTGAATTAGGGGAGTTTATATAATACACACTGGTTAGTGAAGAGACACTGACCGGTTTATTCAGGGATAAACACAAAATAGGATAAAAAAAATCCCACATAACCGACATTATTACGGATAAGTTTACATTAACATGGCCGTCTTAATGGTTAGGACACAGACCTGTGGGTCAGGGGATGCTAATGCTAATGCTAATGCTGAAGGGTGAGCTGGAAAATGACCAGACTGGATATTAAGGAACAACACAGCACAGTGGAATGGATTATTTTAATCGGTGAGCTGGAAAACGGATCGGACTTTTAAGAAAAAAAAACTGGATCGGGAGTCTGGATCTGCATTTTCTCCAGATATCGGATCGGGACCAGCCTACCTCAAAGTGCCCTGTTACGGCCCACTGCTGTATTCTGTGAGGAGGGGTTGGTTTCCTCTACATTTCCTGAGTCCTGACTACAGCTCCCAGGGTTCCTGCACTAACCAGCTGACGCCAGTCCACCAATCAGGAGGGGCCACCCGCTGGATTTAAAGGGCCAGGAGCCAAGCAAATTGTTGTGGTCCTGGTCCTTTAAGAGGATGTTGTTTTGGACCTGTGCTATGGCATTTGAATTTAATTTGGACGGTTGTGAATATTTCTGCTTTGTTTTGTTTGGTTGTTTGTGATTGGCTTGTGTTCTGTTTTGTTTCTATTTTTGGGATTTGTTTGCTGTCTTTATGTTCTTTGTCTGAATCTTTCCTTCAGTTAATCAGTAATCCCTTTGTCAATACCAAGAACGTCTGGTTTGTGTTACGTCCTTTTTCCCTTAACAGGCTGCAGCCTGTAGGAGCCTCGGATGGATATCCAACTCCTCCCACATCCAAGTCGGCCATTTTGATTAGGTCATGTGACTAGCAGCTTTCTGAGGTGGAAACAAAACTTTACCGTCTATACGAAATCGGAAGATAAATGATGCCCTAACCCTAAACCCTAACCTTAACCCTAACTCTCCACCCTAACCCTAACCCCAAACCTAACCCTGACCCTAAACCTAAGCCTGACCCTAAACCTGACCCTAACCTTAAACCTAACCCTGACCGTAACCCTAACCCCAAACCTGACCTTAACCGTGATCCTAACCCTGACCCTAACCCTAACCCTTCATAATTTTGAGAAATAAATATTTTTTGGTTAAACTTGTTTGGACTTATTGTACAAACCTATCTAACATCCACTATTTTAACATAATATTATGTATATAGTTTCATTCAGTGTTTGCAAGATTAATTTAACTATTTTTAAATTAATGTCTATATTGCCATGAAGCAATTAGGATTTCTTGCCTGGGATCTTCCTATTGGGGACCTAATCAAAATGGCCGACTTGGATGTGGGCGGAGTTGGATATCCATCCTCGGCTTCCTGCAGTCTTGATTAATGTTGGCGTGTTATTATTAGCCGTTAGCTGCAGCTAGCAATTCAAGGCTAACGTCATGTTAACTCATCGGCTGCCAAAGACGTCTATAGATGTCTTTTATGTTTTTCAACGAGAGTGGCTGGGGGACGATCTGCTAAAGCTTGTCCGTAAATATCAGGCTTCTAGACAGAGTATGTAGTAACAAATTGACCCTCTAGGGGGCAGTGCCACTTTTGATGGGGGATGAGCATAGACTAGCAGCCCTGACAGACACACAGACACCTCTGCTCACGTTGGTACGTTTTTCCCAGATTCTGTCGCAAGACCTTACGCCATTAACAGAGCTGAGCGGGCCCGTTTCCTCTGGCGTCTGCAATAAGAAACCGCCTTGGCTCAGTGTTCAGGACACAGGGTACACAGGATTTTTTGGGGTGTGTGGAAAAAAGCGGGCGGAGCTGAGGACAACCCGGCTCACCCTGATGTCCTCGGGGTCCAGGCTGTGCTCGCTCCAGGCCGAGGTGATGCTGCTGTTCAGGTAGGAGCCGGACCGGCCCATGTCCAGCTCGTCCTCGTAGGCCTCCGAGGCGATGTCGTCCCGCATGTGGGTGCCTGCAAACAGGAACT